GAGCTACCCGGTCGAAACAGATTCTGCTCGATTATGCGCCAAATTATATATACGACCCAGCAATTTCTCGATGAGAGTCACGAGACCTAGACTGCACGCAACTCGCGAAGAGTTGACGTCGCACGAAGTCGGCAATGGACACCCCTTGTAGCTCGTTTTTTGGCAGGTACGCTCGACGGTTGTATGGGACAGACTTGCTCGGTGTCAACGAAGTCGGTCATTAGATGGAGTAGGGGGTGCTAAAGCCTCCACTTGATGAGAGAAAATGCAACTTATTTATTAAGTTAATGAGCACCTCATTCACTATACTTTTAGAGTCATTTTTACTCACAGCGCATTTTCGAGGATGCCGTATCTCACGTCTTTGAGGGAGTAGTTAATCTTTTGCATTTTCATAATATAGCATCTTTTGACATACATATACGCGATGATGTCCTTTATCAGCTGCCAAAGTAACTTTAGCAATCGTGTGCCCGAGGATACTTTTGCATAATTGAACCACACCTGAGTCGGCTCCTGTGTCAGGCGATGACCAGTAGCGTATTGACAAGCAGTTGTATTAATAGTTTGCATAGTTCAGAGTATGGTTACCTGGACGTCAAAAGCTGCACTCACATAGATCGGTCTAGATCCACATAGCGCGTGCTTATGAAGGAACATCAAGGAGGGAGTTACAAACCTTATCAAATAATAGATTGAACTGCAAACTATTATTACACTAGCTTGGTATAATGTATTGGCGCGACGCTATGACAGAATGCATGGTCTATTGTGAGGAACAGGAGTGACACTTCATTGTAACCTCCAAAATAAGGAACACAAGTACCCTTGAAGATTGCTTGAAAGTTTTGGAGCTGATATAAGGACATCAAAGGTCGTAGGTGATGGCTAGGCTGAAGTGCATAGCGAGTGGCAGAGACATACGTGAGGCACACTCATAGCAAAACTGAATGAGCCTCAAGACTGGAGAACGTATTACCGGGAGTAGAGAATGGGAGTTGATAATACGAATAAAAATGTCTTTTACTAAAATGTTTACTTCTTATAAGTTGCATTTTTGCATCAATGGGGCTTTAGAACCCCCTCCTCCATTATGATTGGAAGTTTATTAGAGCGACCAAAAAAAGCCACTGACGTGTGATTTCCACCTGGACTCAACTCGGGGGTAACTTTTCTACTGCCCATGCGGTTTAAGGTCCCGAGTTGGAAAACGTGCCAGTTTTCTCTGCATCTGTTCGTAAAGCGTGTGCTTTCTATTAACGGATTATGGTAAGCTTATTTTGGCATTGAAAAAGCAAACATTTTAAAACATATTGGCTAAAAGCTTTTTCCTCTGACACTCCTCAGAGCATAAAACATCAATCCTCAGACCCTTTCTCAGAATAAGGGTCCCAAAGAAAACGATGAAAAATATATACCCAGTTGTGGATCGAAACAGGCCAATCAGAAAAACGCAAGCACAGGACCGGTATAGTTGACCAATCAGTGCTGCGTGCCTAAAGAAAAATTACCACTAGATTCCAAGAGAGAAAACGAACTCCTTCTGTCTACACAATGGCGGCTTTTCTCGTTTGTGTGTAGATGGATTTCAAAACTGCTAGATGGAAAGACGACTTTTTTTCAAGTTCTGTACCACCAAAAACTTTTGATACGTTTATTATCTTGAGTGAAAATATATTTGCAAAATCAGCTAAATGTCTTACGGAGTGGCACTGATGTTGCTACAAGACCACAGGTTCTACCAAACTTCATATCTTTGACATCAACATCTTCAAAATATACTGCATGAACTTTTAGCGATATGAGTCGGGACGAATTCCTAAGCGTAACTATCAATAATTTTATTATTGTTTCCGGCGTTTTTCATTGTTCGTTAAGTCAAATGCAAACTGTCCACTTTCAATTTTGTTGTAAACAGGGAAAAGTGAAGCATTGTGTATATAAACACTTGGTCTGAAGCTCAATAAATGAAGATTCTGGTTAGAAAAACGTCAATTACAGATAATTTTGTCGTGTTACGATTGCTGTTCTAAATATGTTGCTTGTCTGAAAGAATTTGGTTTTGAATAGAGTTGCTGGTGGTAGATGCTTGTTTTATATGTCTGAGTAGTCTTGTTTAATCTGTCTTCGCGATTAAAAATACTTTTTTTCAAGGATAAAGAGTTAGAACAAAAGGCTTCCAGACCAGAGTTTCTCTATTGACTGTGGTTACACAGACCCTCTACTTTCAAGTTAAGGGTCTTGGACAGAGGCTAATTGCCGATCGAAACTAGTTTTTTGCAAACTTGAACATATAGGAAAGCTTGCAATTATATATTATCACATGATAGGCAAACACTAATGTAAATGACTGCGAGCAGAAGCGGACTGGCCCACCGGGACATTGGGAAATTTCCTTTTACAGGCTGAAAATCCTTTTACAGAACTAAAGATGATTTCAGTCATCAGTTGACCTGTTGAAAGCAGGACATTTTATAATATACTCAGTGATGGGGGAATTGCCCCGCCAGGCCTTATGAGTTCCCCCACCACTGACAAGCAAAGTTCTACTTTTACCCCAGATGCCAAGCCATTGTGGGGCACTTTCAAAATAATAAACATGATGCAAATGTGCTGGCCAAACATATAATATTATACTTTCTATCATCATCATGTTTTGGTGAAATGGCTCTACTACTGCAAATGCAGCAGTTGAAATAGCTATGCCTTCATTCGGATTTTTCGCTGAAACGTTTTAATCAATGGCGTAGAAAAGAAAGCATTAGAAAAGGGGGAGGGGGCATCGGTTTGAAGAGGCATCCTAACAAAGATTTCAGAAAGGTCGAGAAAGGTGGTTTATGGGGGCCTAACTACAATGATAGAGATACTTTTTCTGGCTTAGCTGCGAGCTGTGCCGTCAAGAGGTTTTGAAGGCACTGTGAAAAAACAGAAAGACGAGGTCTGCTATGAGCGAAGCGACCAGAAAATCGTTGGCGACTATGCCCTTTAGATAAGCAAAAATGCGCTTCAGAGTATTTCTTGCAGTCATTTTCTTGCAACCTCAGTCATTTTTCAAAAAATCTGTCACCCTGGACCTGCAAAAAACTTGAAAAACCTAAAAAATTTTCAAAAATAATTTTTACTCGGAATAATCTGAAATGTTTGAAAAGACGTTTGGAACACAAATTAAAGTGCTTTCGATCAATTCGCGATTAAAAATACTTTTTCAAGGATAAAGAGTTAGAACAAAAGACTTCCAGACCAGAGTTTTTCTATTGACTATGGTTACACAGACCCTCTACTTTCAAGTTAAGGGTCTTGGACAAAGGCTAATTGCCGCTCTCAACTAGATTGCCGTTTGCAAACTTGAACATTAACACAAATAGGAAAGCTTGCAATTATAAATTATCACATTATAGGCAAACTCTAATGTAAATAACTGCGAGCAGAAGCGGACTGGCCCACTGGGACAATGGGAAATTTCCCGGTGCGCCCTTTGCCCCACGTTGTTGTTTTCAAAAAGTTTAAAACTATCAAAAGGCAGAAAATCCTTTTACAGAACTAAAGATGATTTCAGTCATCAGTTGACCTGTTCAAAGCAGGACATTTTATAATATACTCAGTGATGGGGGAATTGCCCCGCCAGGCCCTATGAGTTCTCCCACCACTGACAAGCAAAGTTCTACTTTTACCCCAGATGCCAAGCCATTGTGGGGCCCTTTCAAAAGAATAAACATGATGCCAATGTGCTGGCCAAACATATAATATTATACTTTCTATCATCATCATGTTTTGGTGAAATGGCTCTACTACTGCAAATGCAGCAGTTGAAATAGCTATGCCTTCATTCGGATTTTTCGCTGAAACGCTTTAATCAATGGCGTAGAAAAGGAAGCATTAGAAAAGTGGGAGGAGGCATCGATTTGAAGAGGCATCCTAACAAAGATTTCAGAAAGGTTGAGAAAGGTTGTTTATGGGGGCCTAACTACAATGATAGAGATACTTTTTCTGGCTTAGTTGCGAGCTGTACCGTCAAGAGGTTTTGAAGGCCCTGTGGAAAAACAGAAAGACGAGGTCTGCTATGAGCGAAGCGACCAGAAAATCTTTGGCGACTATGCCCTTTAGATAAGCAAAAATGCGCTTCAGAGTATTTCTTGCAGTCATTTTCTTGCAACCTCAGTCATTTTTCAAAAAATCTGTCACCCTGGACCTGCAAAAAACTTGAAAAACCTAAAAAATTTTCAAAAATAATTTTTACTCGGAATAATCTGAAATGTTTGAAAAGACGTTTGGAACACAAATTAAAGTGCTTTCGATCAATTCGCGATTAAAAATACTTTTTCAAGGATAAAGAGTTAGAACAAAAGACTTCCAGACCAGAGTTTTTCTATTGACTATGGTTACACAGACCCTCTACTTTCAAGTTAAGGGTCTTGGACAAAGGCTAATTGCCGATCTCAACTAGATTGCCGTTTGCAAACTTGAACATTAACACAAATAGGAAAGCTTCAATTATCAATTATCACATGATAGGCAAACTCTAATGTAAATGACTGCGAGCAGAAGCGGACTGGCCCACTGGGACAATGGGAAATTTCCCGGTGCGCCCTTTGCCCCACGTTGTTGTTTTCAAAAAGTTTAAAACTATCAAAAGGCAGAAAATCCTTTTACAGAACTAAAGATGATTTCAGTCATCAGTTGACCTGTTCAAAGCAGGACATTTTATAGCATACTCAGTGATGGGGGAATTGCCCCGCCAGGACCTATGAGTTCCCCCACCACTGACAAGGAAAGTTCTACTTTTATCCCAGATGCCAAGCCATTGTG